AATAAATAAATAAATAAATAAATAAATTTTATCAAACACATAACATTATAAACTTAAGGAAATTTTACATAAAATTCTACCATAACTGAGCCAGGCATCATGGTGCAACTGTATAACCCTAGCACTCAGGAGGCTATGCAGGAAGATTACCATGAATCCGAGGCTGACCTGGGCTACATAATAAATTCAAGGCCAATCTAAACTACACAGTAAGACCTTGTCTCAAAGAAATAAAACAACAAAAATATCACCATAATCTCACTGCTCAACTATACAGTTTTCACACTTCCTTTCTACTTCTAACAACATTTATATAATCAAAAATGAAAATAAATCCCATCATTTAAGTTTGACAATAAATTAATTTGCCTTACACAGATACACATATACATGGGGGAGGTACATAAGCAGACTCCAAAAAGTGGCAGAGTTAAATCAAGTTTAGGACTGGCCAAATAGCTCAGCGGATTAAAGCGCCTGCAAGCTGGCACAGGGGCCAGGGGTTCAATCCCCGGCCTGCCTCACCGGCTCTGCCCCTGGGGTACACTGAGACTGGGCATGGTGGCGCACGCCTGTAATCCCCACTCTTAGGAGGCTATAAAACAGGAGGATCACTACAAGTCCAATCTAGTAGTGAGACCCTGAACACCCTGTAGATCCTTCCCTAAAAATAAAAACAAATTAAAAATCCTGAACATCCTATAGACCCTTCCCTAAAAATACAAAAAAAAAAAAATCAAGTTTCTAAGCAGAGGTTAAAATTACTATTACAGTGTAACAGCCAAGTATGGTGGCATACATCTGCCTGGGCTAGAGTAGTTAAAACCTGCGTTAACTACACAGAGACCCTGCCTCAATCAACATACATACAGTATAACATAAACTAAAGAACACAGTGGCAAGTACCTCATGTAGTATCCCTGTTGCCAAGTTTTTGTTACACAATTCTCATCACAGCCCTCTCTTCCCCTCTCTTTTCTGCTAACTATAATAAATAAAATACATTAGGACATGTGGGCTGTAGCTTTTGTGGCATTTCATGTTCTTCCTACCAAGGTCTTTTGTAGATAAAATGTTTTCTTTATAAAATACAAAAAATAAAAAATAAAAAGCCTTAACACTATTCAAACTTAGGTTAACATCCATCCATCCATCCTAGACTTCTTCGAATATTTCATCTTCAGCTTCAACTACTACAATACATTTTTTAAATATCCCTGCTACTTTCTTCAACAGTTGTCTATCATCTAGTCACAAAATGATCTCTTGTATAAAATCTCTGAGTGCAATGAACCTTAATTTTAAATCTTACTTTTTTGGAAGAGCCCTGTCCTCCACCTGCATTTTCCTGAAAAGATTTCTAAATGCCTTCCTTCTGGATCTTCTCATTTTACAGAAACACAGGTCTTTTCTCCAGATTTATTTTTAGGGTTTAGTTTTAAGCATTAGTACTAATTCTTTTGATAGTGTTGAATCTCATTATATACAAAAATAATTCAACATAGTAAAAAGTTGATAACACAAGTAAACATAAAAACAAACCTACAACAATTCCCCAGAACATCATAAAAGTTTCCACTTCACCTATGTACTTGAATAAATTTTTTTACTTAAGGCACTATTAAAGTGTTATTTGCAAATCAGATGTGACGGATGGTAAATTCAAGTCCAGCCTGGACAACTTTGCAACTTGGCAAGACTGTCTCAAAATAAAAAATCTTAAAAGACTGGGAATGTAGCTCACTGTGAATCCCCAGTACCACAAACTAGCTTCTGCTTAATAGAGAAAAAGAGAAATTTGCTGCTTAGAGTGCCTTCAACTTCCTGTTCGTAATGCACCTTTAGAGATGCACTTGCTGGAGGGCTCTATTTAGCAGAGCTACCACTGGCAGCTATTTGGAAAGTGAATTAAGATAACTCCCCTTTGAAACAGGATCTTGCTATGTAGTTCAGGTTGGCCTTGAACTCACTTAAGTAACCCAGACTGATCCTCCTGCCTTGGCCTCAGTCTCCAGAGTGCAATGTGCCACCATGCCTGGCAAGACACTTTTTCTTTTTTCTTCTACTTTTTTTTTTTTTTTTTTTTTTTTTTGAGAAAGGGTCTTGCTATGCAGTTCAGGCTAGCCTTGTGCTCAGTTTTGAAGGCCCCAGGCTGGTCTGGAACTCAAGAGTGATTCTCCTGTCTCAACCTCCCAAGTGCTGGGATTACAGATGTGTGCCACCACACACAGTAAACTTTTTTCTATAAAAATATTTTTCTATATTACAATTCTGCCATTGCCTTCTCTTCAATTTCAAAAGTCAATTTCTTATCATCTCTGTTGTTTGTCCACAAAGGTAATCCTGCCTGTAGAAAAAGTAAGACTTCTTCAAATCAGTTCAGGCACTCCCTTACTCCACTGTTTTCCATGGCTAATTTGCAGTGTTTCTTCCTAATGTGCTTACTAAGAAGACCACAGACACTCTGCAGCTCTCCTTGCCTTCTGGGAGACAGCGCTCTGTTCATGTAATCTTGCATTCCAGTTCGCCCTTTAATGTAATACTTACTGAGATTTTCTAATGCAAGGTATCATTTATTTTAAATCTTTTTACATATTATAGCTAACACCAAATTAACATTAACACGTATTCTAGGAGTCAAAATTGCATGAAACATATATGTACATATGTGTGTATATATATAAAATATACTTATTTAATATATATATATCACTCACGACTATAGCTGTATAACCAGAAAATGGCTACAGCAGATATTTAGTCATACAACCAGGATAAGACTCTTGCAACTGAGTTCACATAAACTCAGAGTCCATTCCTTAAACATTTATTCATATTAAAAAAGAGAAGTTTGTATAAAGGATAATGGTCCTCAAACTAAGTAGTAAACTTTTACTTCTGTAATTTATAGTCTGTCCAAAAATTTGTATTTGATAATTTAGCTTTCTAGTCCTATCAATGTAGATATAAGACCTACATTTAAAACAATTCGGCTGCCCAAATAACTCAGCAGATTAAAGCGCCTGCTTAGACAGAGCACAGCGGCTGGGGTTCCATCCCCAGGTTGCAGTGCCGGCCCCGCCCCCAGGGCGCGCTGAGACAGCAAGGCAATTGAGACTGGGCATGATGGCACACGCC